TTTTGAGACCATCAGTTTTGCTCATTGTTGAAGGTTGTTTACAGTTACATGTATTTGTTCACAGCTTTGTCCTTTGGCTCTTATGGATAGTTTATGTCATTTGGCAGTCATATATACCACATCTCCTTATTTTTATCATATTTGGGTTTGAAAGACTTTCATAGAGCACAAGGATACAATTTGTATATTTTCATGGGTAAAATTTTTTTTTATTGAAGGAAATTTGTATATTGTGGATATTTGATTTCGTGGTTTTGCCAAAGTTTGCATACAAGCCTATGAAAAATTAATACTTCTTTGAACATTTAAATTCGTGTTTCACATTTACCCATGAAATCCACAAAAAATTGGTATCCCACGAAAAATATTGAATTTCCAGTAATTGGTAAAGGCTGTCAAAACTGATGAAGATGCAAATAATTTAACTGGATTTTTTTTTCTTCTGGTGACAGACATAATTTGATAGTTCCCTATTCATATTGTATTGACATTTATCTCTTGACAATAAAATTATGGTACGATGATAAATTTTTTTTACAATAATGCGAAGGAATTTGAGATCTGTAATGCATTTACCTTGCATGAAATTTATACAAAATAAGGAGTTGTTAGAGTTTCGTTTCATTAGGGTAGTAAAAAAGAATTTCTAAAACGGCCGTGGGTGGTAGTTTTAAACAAAGTTTGTCAGATTTGTCCATGCATTTGGTTGACATAACATTATTAAATGAAGTACTTATGGGACAAAGAAATTACCGACAAGCATCATGTTGCATAAGTTTTATTGACAGTTTTCAGATTTTTAAGTGGAATTCAGTAATTATGTTTATTATTTCAAGTCCCATGTGCTAATTATTTATTTTTGGATGTGGAATGTTTCTTTACATTTTCTTCATAGGAAAGTCTGGAATATCAGCATTGTGGCGACATATGGATTAAAACTGATGCAAATTTTACACCATGATATAAACACCGAGATTCTCTTACTAATTTAGCTCTTATTAAAATATAAAGAAAACTTCGCACTTGTAAAACATAACATGCATATTACATGATCCTTTTAACAGGGGATGTCTGGGATTAATTAATAATAAATCGTAGTTGATTCCCACTGAGCGCTGGTGCAGAGGATTTTGTAGAATTAAAACAGGATCATAATGTGATTTTATGAAGTGGAACCTTCTGGAATATTTGGCTGTGAGCCTTTTATTCCCAAGAAATCACTTTCAATATGAAAGCCATCAACCCTTGTTTATCAAAATTTATCTTATTGTTTTCACCTTTGCATGAGATGTATATCATTTTTTAACAATTCCCATGACCTTTGATCATGATTTTAGTGAAATGGATGTTTTTGTAAAAAAATTAGATGTTGTGCAGTGATTTTTCTTTATCTTCTTTTTTAAAAATTTCTCCCTACTAGCCAGATTTTTAGTGTATGCACTCCCTGTATTCAAATTTTGCCTAAAACTAAACTGAAAGACATAACTTGTTATTCAAGATGTATGTATCTCTGAAATTTATTATTTTTCTCTCGAGGACCATTTCATGATAGCTTTTATCCCAAAGAGGAAATCAAGAAAAAAAAATATGAATAAATAAATAAAAAAAAACAATCAACAATGTTGAATTTACCAAACAGAAATATTTATGATACACTTAATATTTATTGAAAAAGGCGGACATGCATTTATTCAGATGGGCATGGTTTTAGTTTAATAGCAGGGCGTGTTCTGCTTTTGCTGAAAGTTGACTCTATACATTATTTGTAGATAGCATATGGGTTTCGTATGCATATAACACATTTACTGTGTTTTTACTTGGTTTGGTTGTCATGATAACCTTTCGGTTGTATATTTGTATATTAAATGAAAGTTTTCTATTAATAATTGTATTAATTAGATTTTTGATAACTTAAAGGAAAAAGAGTAATGCTTGTAGAACAAAATCCTCTTTTTCTGCATCATCAATAAGTGTTGCAGCTGTTTAATTACACAAAACTGGAATTATTTTACAATTTGTATAATCTACCATTTGTAATAACAGTCAAAATTTGAACAATCTTCACAGACTTTTGATTATAAACAAATTATACTGTAATTCTGTTGGTAATCATCTTCCTCATTACAAGTACTTCAGGGAAGTAATTATTTGTAGAGAGGAGGGTGTTGTTACACAGTCTGGTAAAGCCATTATTGTCGCTCATCTTAAACTAACATCATCAGCTACCATAAAGTTTTGACAAACAACATCATTTACCATGTAGTGATAGATGTGCCTTGCAAACTGGTTATAATTAATGCTGAACCTTGACTGGTACCCTTCACTTTATGTTTGATCTTCTCTGTAAAAAGACGGGTAGTGACTATGTCAGAAATGTGACAAATGTTGTAAAACACGAGAATGGCATATTTTTATGAGAAGGTGCCTGAGATAGAGATTGATTAGGTTTTGTCTGGAATGCATTGTCTTTGGGATTTCTGCTCAGTAACTTCATTGTATATTACACAGTAATACATTTCCAATTGCTGTCTGTTCCTATGACAAGAAAAGCCACATAAATCTTTGTTGTGCATCGTTGTCAGCAATGAATCATTCTTTACATATATATTATAGTCACTGCAGACTGCCGTAGAGCCTGTTGATAAATATTTTTTCTCGCTACAATTACACTGATTTATACGATTTTATAAGGGTTGCCAGAAACAACTTCCACTGAATTCCACTAAAATGCTAAAGTTTTGTACTTTCAATGGCATGAAAAAACACATTTCAAAAGCTTTGAAATTGTGAACTTTCACCAATTCAGTCAGTGAGTTTCTTTTGATTTCCACCCCTACAGAAAAGTTTTGTAATATCTACATTAAAAAAAAAAGGTTTTCCTAAGCTCAGAAATTTTAAATGGTTTGCTAGGATTATCAACGATCAATTTAATTAGATATTGTCAGTCAACAGTTGATTTCTGATTTGATTAGGGCAGTACTTGTATTGACAGTATAGTGAGGGTTTGTGTATACTGGTAGTTTGTTAGGGTTTGGTCTGGAAGAAGCTGTGTAGATTGTCAGTTATGTTGAATGACCTACTGCGGATTATTTGTGAGATACCAATTTTTGTGGATTTTATGGTTACAGATGAACCACAATTTTAAATGTTCAACTAAGAATGAATTTTCTTCAGCTTGTATGCAGACTTTTGTAAAACCATGAAAGCAAATATATATGAAAATACAGTTTTTGTCTCCCTTGTGACAAAAGTCGGGGAAGGCGTGACAAAGGTATTGCTTTTCCAGCGTCATTGCCGTCATCAATTATTAGGTTTTCTGCTTAAGTTAGTTTGATAGGAACTACTTGCTATATATCAATGATACTTTGTATGAAGTTTTATTACTATCAATTCATATCAGTTTGATGACTATTTTGAGGCCCTGCTACCTAGGTCATGGTCCAGTGACTTTGAATTAATTAGCAATTTTCAATGTTAAGTTTTCTGCTTAAGTTAGTTTGATAAGAACTTAACTTGTGATACTCAATGATATTTTGTTTGAAGTTGCATCATACTTTCAGTACATATCAGTTTGAGGAATATTTTGAGGCCCTGCCCCTAGTTCATGGTACAGCGACTTTGAATTAATTAGCAATGTTGCTGTCCATTCAGAGTGTCTTTTCCTGAATTTTATGACAGTAAAGTCAGTTGACCTTCAATGGACTGTTAGTAATGTCAGTTGACCTATAAATATTTGTCTGTAATGCCAGTTGACCTATAATGAATTGTCAGTAATGTTGGTTGACCTATGATAAATTGTCAGTAATGTCAGTTGACCTACAATGAATTGTCAGTAATGTGAAATAACCTATAAGAGATTGTCAGTAATGTCAGTTGACCCTTGTTTGATTATCAGTTATGCCAGTTTACCTATTGAGTAATGTCATATAATGATCTCAAATGATTGTCATAAGTGATTGTCAGTAATGGCATGTGATCTTAAATGATTATCAGTAATGTCATCTAGTCTTAAGTGATTGTCAGTAATGTCATATAATCTTGAAAGATTGTCAGTAATGTCATATGATCTTAAATGATTGTCAGTTATATAATGTCTTGTGATTTCAGTTGGTTGTCAGTAATATCATTTCATTTCAAGTGGTTGTCAGTAATATCATATGATCTCTGATAGATAGTCACTTTTTACTTTTAGTAGATTGTTAGTTCTGTCATAGAACCTCAGTCCATTTCCACTTAAATTGATTGCCAGTAATATCAGTTGTCAGTACTGTCTTTTTGACTGTTAGTTTAATAACAGTTCAATGGATTACTAATTATGGTAAGAACCCATATCTTTTGATGATGAGAAGAAATGTTAATCTGGAATTTATCATTATGTATCTCTGTTTGTCTAGTTAAAACATTTAATCTCAATTGTTGACTTAGATTGGTTAATTTATCCAGTTTGTCAAAATTAATTGAAATGATGTTTTTTTCTTCATCATCTTGATAGAACTCATTATCTTGACATTAATACAGTTGGTGGTCCAGTTTACATTGTTATAATTGAAGTTGATTGGAGTTGATTCTTAGTAGATTTAATCTTTTAAATTTATTTGTCATTAATGATAATTAAATGCATAAATTTCCATTAAAAAAGATATTAAAGGTGTCATATTTTTAAAACTTCATCTTGCATTTTAAAAGCTATTAAGTAAAATGTATGATAAGTTTTTGTCCTTGAATTTTTGTCTCGAATATGCCTTGAAGTTTACATGGGAAAATAGAATACATTCTTACTTTTTGGAAACAGACAGACAGTTCTTAATCTTATCAAAAATCATATAGATAACAATACAGCTTTATTTTCAGGAAAGTATAAAACTTGACAGACCATCAAGCATTAAAAGGCGTTTCTTGACATAAAACTAATTCTTTTTCACAAGAATTAAAGACTTAATTATTTCAACAAGAAAAATACCAAACAATTAGACCATTTCTTCTACAGATGCATTATTTTCTCTTAATGCGTAAGGTTGGAATTCATATCTGTCAAAACTGTAAATTTGTAAAAATAAACAGACAGTTGACTCCAATCCTTCAAAGAGTCGTAAAACTCACATTATATTTATAAAGTTTAACTTGCTAATGTGTTTGGAGATGATAGATTTGAAGATGGAGCATTTTTCTTTTGAGAAATGTTTATCATTATCTGGCAGTCACTAATTTGTCAGATAAATGACCATCTTCCATGAGAAAAGGGGGGCCCTGGCAAGGGGGCTTATCTCTACCAAAAAATATCATATTTATAAGATTTTGGTATATTTAATGCATTTTCTTCATTGGTTGCTTATCAGCTAGCATGATAGGTAAATAAGATTTGTCAGAATATGATATGTAAAGCAGAAACTATATTTTTGAGTGTATGGACAATTATCTCCTCAGTATGATAGCAGATCTCTATAGAATAGGCATGGTATAGCTCAGCAGTATGTTATAGTGTTAGGATATTACACACTCACAAAAATGAAGCTTGATGGTAAGGATTTTTATTTTGTTTAGAAAGTTTTGAAAGAAAAAAAAAGTGATTCTACTTTTTAGTAGTCATTTTATTCAGGTATTAAAGATGAATATTTTTTGGTAAGGGATGGGGATAGCATGTAAGGATATTACACACACCCAAAAACGAAGCTTGAAAGTAAAGACATATATGCAATAAGAATTAAAAAGAAATAAAAAAAAAAGACATATTCATATAGATTATTTTATGAAAACATTTGATGACATAAATGTTCATTCAAGATTTTTTGCATTTTATGCTTGACAACAAGATTTTTAATTTGCTTAGTCTTGAAGCTTTTTAATAGAAAAGAAAAATAAGTTCACCTTTTTAATGGGGTAATTTTATTAAGCCATCAATGATATATGTTTGGGGCATTCAAAAGTGTAAGGATTTAACACAAGTAAAAAAATGATAAGGAAACTATGAAAATTTAAAAAAAAAAAATAAACATTGGATAGAATTTAATTTTATTTAGCACATAAATTTCAAAGATTTTTGTGTCATTTTGGAAGTCTCTATAAAAGTGTGTAAGGATATTTAACAGTCAAAGAAAATTGATGGTCAGGATTTTTATTTTGATATCAAATTAAAAAAAGACAACATTTGAACTCTTATATACACATAAATATATATGTTATTGGTTTTTTCTGTGTCATTGGTTTGCTGTCTCATTGATTTATGTAATTATACCCCACAACACATTTTATTCAAAGAAAAACATTTTATTGAGCAAATTATTGATGATTAATGATTTTTTTGCATTTTGCATTTCCTCGTGATAGTATGCTCAGAAATGATGCTTGATGCTATTATCATATCATACTCATCTGAAGAATTTTCTTAAATTCAATTATGAAAATTAATGTTTAGAATGTGCATGTGCTGCTTAAATTCAAAAAGATAATTTAATGAATGAAGTCTTTATCATTAGGGAGGTGTAAAACATTCAAATCATTGAAAAATATAAAGATATGTATACATGCTGGTTTTGTCACAATATGAGCATTAAAAGAAAACCGATTTTTTTTTCTGAGAAAATTAGATTTCTCTTAATTATTGGTAACAAATTTAGGTTCTCAAATGTATGGGGAAAAATGGATATTAGAATAGACAAAATGTGTATTAGAAATATAACAAGAATTTGACAAATATTGAAGTGTATGGTTTAAAAAATTATATTGACATGTATTTATAGGAGTTGTCTGGCAAACTATTTGTTGATGCCACTATTGCCTACGAAAAAATTCAGAGGTATTCATAATAATACGGAAAAGTTGATAATCCTTAAGGATTTTGTGGCACCTTACATTTTATGTCATATTGCATGAAATATTTGGTACTGGAAGTGAGGCAAATAATGAATTTTATTGAACAGATTAAATCCTAGTTTATGTTTATTTTGATAATTTTTTTAATTTCTTGTTTAATTAAGAAACAGAATAAGAATTTTATTAATCTAATCAAGAACCCATAAAGGGCATCATTTACAACAATATTAAGAATATAATAGCTTACTAAAATGTGAAATAAAATGTAGACAAAAGTATCAGAACATTAACTGAACATCAAAGTTTTTTTGTCATTCTATTAACATGAATTTTGAATGTAATAATATTATGGAATGAATTTTGTAATTTGACATTTCTTCTCTAAATCAGAAGTATAACAAAGCAATTAATCAACAGACGTAAAGAATTTGTTTTGGCATTTTAGAGTTGTTATCCCTTTATCTTTGTTTCGTCAGAACATCCTTTTATCTTTTTTTCGTCAGAACAAAGTTCAAGCAGGAGATAATTCGTTGTTATTTTGTGATATCCGCTGACTTTTTTTCAATTTGAAGTGGTATATAAATAATTTATGGAGCAAGTGTCAGTAAATGAAATATTAGGTTAAATTCTACTTTGAACTTAGGATTGCATCAGAGGACTTTCTTATTTGTTCATAATCTAATATTGAAAAATATACAATATTATTTCAGTACCTAAAATGTTTTGTAATGCATATGAATCGCTTCAGGAGTCTCTTGGCATTGTTCTCACCCGGAGAGGGGGGTGGGTTTTTTTTTGGTTGCTGGCTGATGTCCTGTTCCTATTGTAATTAGTTTAACAATACATGGAAATTTTTCTCGTTTTACATAAAATTCTACAAAATTCTGTACTAAGTCAGGAGTATGACCGTTGTTTTTCATTTGTTAGATGTGTTTGAGCTTTTGATTTTGCCATTTTATAAAGGACTTTCCGTTTTGAATTTCCCTTGGAGTTCAGTATTTTTGTTATTTTACTTTTTTCTAGCCCTCGTTCTCTCTCTTTCTTTACAATCACACACCAACTTTGCAAGGATATATTAGACATTAAATGTTCTTTCATTTGTTAAAACCAGATTGTTTAAGGTCCTAATTGTGGTTTTCAACACTTACCTCAGCTAATGCAATATATCTTATACATAAATATGCATAACATTGCTACTTGCAAAAAAAAAAAACATAAAAAGAGACATTACCTATGCTCTCGATTCATAAAATATGAGCGACTGAAACAAATCATATGAATCATAGAAAGTGATTTAAATTGTACAAAAAATAGCACAGGATATTATAAATTGATCATATCTTTTATACACAACTATTAATGCCAACATGCATACTTAGTGGGAACTTTATTGAAACAGTTTTTGTGCCTATAATTATCAATACATATACATAGTACAATATTTTACTTAGTATTAGTAATACATTGATAGCTCAATAGAAGAACCATTATCTGTCAAAGGAAGGCATTGTATAGTTTTGTGTTTGTGTAATTTTATTTAGTCATGTGTTCCATGTTTTCATAATATTTTTATCAGATACGTTTTTATGTGAAATATCGGCAACAATTCGTGGCTTGTAATACTTAACCACAGTGCTCTATAAAATAGTTATTTCTGTTTCATATAGGCCATAAAATATATGTCCCTGTAGCAATTTGTCTTTGAAATATCAAACCATATTTCATATTTCCTGAAAATATTAATAACTTGCGGTACCAGATGTTTCATAAAAGATAACTTCCTTGTATTTTTTTTAATATTGGCGCATACCTACTCAAGATATCAGTGTCCTAGATGACTGATTTTTTTTAACAAGTTTAAAAGTGTAGATTTGGAATGTAGATATGATCCTTTAAAGAAAGTGTTTTAGTGATTTATTTTCTGGTTTTTAATCTTGAATGATTGACATTCTATAAAATCTAGAATTCTTTATCTTTTGCCCTGATAAATTAACATTGAACCCTACAAAAAAATTGTGAAGAATTTCATTGTCATTGAGTAACAGTAACATATATTTAATGCAGAGTTTATCAAGTATTTTTGAAGCAAATGCAATTTGGTATAGTCCAATATTCAGACTTGAAAAGACAAACAAGTAAACTTGTGTTACTATAGTGACCACTTATGTCCTTGAGACTTCAAAGCATTGTGGTAAATGTTATTACTTCTCAGGCAAGCAATGGCAATCTAAACGTGTTGGGAAAAAAAACCAAAGAAAACTGCTTCAGCTTGATAAAATGGGACAAAGTTTAGGTCATATTAATCATTCAGCATCTTCAGAAACCCAGAGTTGAATTGATAAATTTTGAGGTGCAATAAAATCAACAATGATATCTAAGGATGACTTTCTTGGGCCTTGATTATATATTTTTTCAAGATGGCATGCAATTATCTGTATGCCCTGATATGGTTTTGGTTTTCTGGTAATAACATTTGCATGCAGGCATTTAGATATTTGTTTTACTTTTAGATGGGAAGGGAGGGGCTCATTGTTTTAAATCGACAACAAAATTCAGTTAGGAGATTACAGTAGAAAAAAAATAGAAAATTAAAATGGAAATATATTATTACTTTCTTTGAAATAAATATATGCTCACAGGAGTGACCAATGTATTTGAGTGAAATTCACTGGTAGTTCTGCAATTGTTTTACTATTTAATACATTAAGTATGTGGTATTTTTTTTAACTCTCATGTGCTCTGATAGGAAAAAACCTAGCCTGATAATTTTGGATGGTCTGATTAAGTAATTAATCTTGGGAATAACACACTTCCATGGCCAGTTATCAGTGAATTTGTACTGATGTCTGATTAGAACTAACCAGATAATGTTAAATGATTTGTACTGAAGTTAATTCTTTTACTGGGATCATATACTTATCATTGTGATGGTGTTACAAAAAACATTTGAGGGGATAAATTTCTCTAGTTTTCTATTGTTAATAACACAGGACGTCGACATCTAATCATAACTGAATTCATTTATTTTCGTAGCTACCTGTGAATTTTAATTGGATTGAAGAAAGTTATAATTTCTAAGATACTTCCCTTTCCTGGTAGTTTCACAATTCTTTAAGAAATTTGTACTTAATTTCTGGTTCATCTTTACTGAATGAAGACCATGAAAATTGGTACCATGCACGATAATTAATTCACAGTTTTAGCTGTAATCTTTTACCAACTGCTCGTCTTTGAAGAAAGATAAGATGTATAATCCTGATACAAATAAGTAGATGTGGTATGATTGCCAATGAGACAACTATCCACTAGAGATCAAAGGACAAGAATTCGAACAACTGATATCTCACTATTTCAACCCTGTTAACTCATAATGAAAATAAATAAGGATTTTAGCTAACCAGTCCTTATTAACTCTTGACAAATCTACAATCTCATTCAATTGATGAAAAACATATATATATCATCAATAAATTAATAACTTTATTACCTATTTTGCTGCTAAAATTCCTTTAAGGTGGTAAATAACACTACAGGGAGATAACTCTGTAAAAATCAACTGAACATTTTAATCAATGAATCTATTGTTAAGGAAATATTAAGCTTCTCAATGATCAAAATTAGTGTTTGTCAAACTGCTATATATCCAATAAAATTTTTCCGATAAAGTGTGAGGTTCTAGTTTTTTGAAAGTTTTATATTTTTGTCAAA